CTCCTTTTTTTTATACTCTCACTTTACGTACCACAAAGGGAAAAATGATAAAAACGATTTCGTTTTCGAACTGAGGAGTTTCATTAAAAGTAAATTTACTCCTCTGTTCGCTACCTCCCGTTTCACACTCTTTTCGTATTCGATGCATTTTTGAGGATTCACGAGGAAAAAGGATTTAAACAATGCTTTGAGTCAACGAAAATGTTTCCGTTTTCCACTGAGTAGTATAAAAATGCAAATTCAGCAGAACAACAAATGCCTGTAACGATTGCGCGTTCCCTACGGGTGATGACGCTTGCACAATCAAACAGTTCTCTTGCACAATTGCAATCTTTAGAGTTTAGTACAATCGCAAATATGCCATTAATTTTTCTAAAACGATTTTCGTTTTCGTTTGAAGAAAAAAAATGAATAAGTCAAATAAAAGTTGAAGTATTTAATCGTGTTTCACTTTAATGATGTTTACTATCAATAATTAATTTTTAGCTAAAATTTTACATGAACAATTAATAAACATCATCTTTAATTCTCTCAATAACAATTTAATTACATTTTCAAATTAAATGCATTCATTGTGCATTTACGCATTTAATTTTTGAAATTTTTTGTTACTAACAGACTTTTAATTTAAAATAGATGAGATAAAATGTATGGTTACGTTTCAAGATTGTTTAAACGATACGAACGACCACACTCTTTTTAGGTTAGTGTTGATAGATCTGTGAAATAAATGAAAATCAGTTGTGAAGTTTGAAATAGACATGCATAAATGTAAAATCATGGACTGAGAAAAAAGTATAGTCAAAGCTAGCAAAATATGGTAACTTTTACCCAGTTTTCTGGTTCTAAAGGAGCAACAAGACGCATGGTAGTTTAGATCAAAGCTCCTGTTTGATGATTTGGTAAAATTAACAACATAATATGGTTATTAGATGATAAAATTGAGTAAATGAGTAAAAATTTGGTAATTTTAGCATGAGATCTGAAAAAAAACCGTTTATTTGGTTGAATCCGCTTATCAGTTTTGCATTTTTTACTATATATGTGGTAATAAGAACTATAATTTTGAAAACCTGAAATTCTGGAAAACCTTCACCATGGAAATGAAAAAAATCACCAAATTATTAGTTTAAATACCGTATATATTTGGCTTTATTTACCAAAGCTCTTTTTCTTTACCAGAAGTGTTATTATCATACTGTACAATAATTTTACAAGTATTTTTTTCCGTGTGGGCATCGTTTGCTGGGGGTGGGGTATAGGTCACCGTCAATCCTTTGAAATCTCTAAAAGTCTACCTGAATATTTTAGACAAATAAAGAAAAATTTCGTGAATAATTATGGATTTAAATTCCTTAAAGTTAAAGACAAGAGAGTGATAATTATAAGTAGTCGTTTTGCAGGTATTTAGTTCATTTTAGAATTTTTTTTGTATGCTTGAAATTTAGGAATGACGCCCATGAGTAAAATATTTAAAATAATACAAATAAGTAACTTAAAATACTTATCTAATACATTAAAGTGTAGAAACAATAACAACACCACATTGATTTTAGATTTCTGTAGATAGATTCGAATAGATTTGTGAAATATTCAATAGAAGTCAGTTGCAAAGTATCAAATAGACATGCATAAATGTCTGCAGATATTTCGTTGCTAAGTTCAAATATAAAGTTTATGTTTAAGTATCTTTTCTCGGCAGTTTTATTTAGCACTAAATCAAGAAATGCTATGATTCATTTATTTCTTCAAAAAAGTCAAGGAATCATATTTTATTGATTGATTGATTTAAATCGGGTTTCTGGAGCCTCTGACATTCAGTAAGATAATGCATTTTTGACTTCCCTTGGCTTTTTTTATAACTTCAGAATGAATTCAGGTTATGTCATGCATGCTTTGCAAAAAAAAATTAACCTCTGACTTGAAATTGAAGATTCATAATACATGTATTTCAAGATTTTTAATTATTATTAATCATTGAAGTGTCAGGCTGTGTTAGGTGGTAAATTCTCAGACCAACATGTTAGTCACTAAGTGTGGATAAAACTTAATATGGGGTCGTTCAAATATTACGTAAGCACTTAAAGGAGGCGAAGGGATCCATGATATGCTTATTTTTGCTTAATAATAATAATCTAACTTTCAATAATAATATAACTTATTAAAATTTGCATATAAATAATAAAAACACAAGAGTTCAATCTAAATATAATTTCATTTCATATTATTTCATGGAAATTATTAGTACGATATGTACAGTTATTATTTTATTATCTTTATACATTAAATGGATGTATTGCATCCTTCTACCATTAATATTTAATAGGATTGACAAGATGAGCAAGAATTGGTATTTCCAAAAACAAAACTATAAAACAGATACAATAAGAAAGTAATGTAAAACGGACTTTTGCAACTTTATTAATTTTCTAAAATGAAAATAAATGAAATAAGTATTATTCTTTAAACTCCTGCTATTTTCTTCGCAAATACCAACCTTCTCTGAATAAAAATACCTTTACTGATAGAAGCATATTTCTGATGCATAAATACCATTGTTCAGAGAAATAACTTTAATACATATATACCTTTATTTAGAGAAGCATCTTTAGTAACTAAATACCTTTATTCAGATAAGTATCTTTAGTACATAACCTTATTCAAAAATGCATCTTAATATTAAAAGTTATTGGCATTTATTTAAATTTGATTTTACATTTGTTATTCTTTATTAAATTTCTAAATAAGAATTTTCTTTAAAGAGAAATATACTAAACATAGTTTTCCAAATCCATGAGGAAGAAATAAATATAAAAAAAATGCAGTGAATGTGAATTTTTATTGGTACTATTACGTTTCGGGATTTTGAAAATATTTAGCTACGTTTGCATTTTAATTAGTAATACCAACAATACTTACATTTGCAATATTAATAACTCATTATCATATTACCAGCTTTACCTATAAACACAACTAATTAAGCATTATTGGCATCTTATGCATACATTTAAATATATATNTCTCTCTCTCTCTCTCTCTGTGTGTGTATATATATATATATATATATACACACACAGAGAGAGAGAGAGAGAGAGACTTTTCAAGCAATAATACCGTTTTCATTCTAAAGTTCAAAGGTTTCTATGAAAGAGTTTGTGGACAAACAAAATATTTTTCTTATACATAACTGCAATATTAGTGCTTATTCTTTTTCATTTCAGAGTTCATATTTCCTGAATTTATACAATTATTAAAAGCTATACAAATGCAGTATTTACTCTCTGATGAGTGTAAATATTCTTCAATGAATTTAATGTTTTAGAGAAGGACTTTAAAAAAAAGATAGAGATTAATGATTTATTAGTAGCAGAGAAATTTAATTAAAGCATATTTTCTATCGAAAGAAAAAACATACCTAAAATGCGTGATTTAAATATGTTTTAAAAAAATATTATCTTTTTTGTTGCTGTAGTGTGTTAAATAAATACATTTTCATTTTAGCAAATCATTTTCCTTAACCCTAAAAGAGCCTTTTTTTAATGTTTAATGTAGCCTTTCACATATCTTTAATGGCGATTACAGCAATAAAATAGTTTAATACCAAATTATCCTCTATTTAGATTAACACGTGCATGTCTTATACAACGTGGTCTTTTCAAATAATTTTCATTAACCTGACGTTAATTGCCATCACAAAGTCTATCGATTCGCTAACCAAACCTGATGTTATAACCCGATTATTACATTAAACAAAGTTCCACAAAATGTGATCTTACATCATTCGTTTCAAACGAACCCTTTTAAAAACCAAGCGGTCAAAATTCCGTTAAATTATAGACGCTTTTATGACCGCGAAAAGCAGGGTTCTCGCTTTCAGAACATAATAGATAAATGGTTATGTTAATTAAGCTAATTCTTCCCACTTAGTTCGTATGTGATGTGGAATTTCAAAGAATTTATACCAAAGGAACACAAAACTCTCAAATTCTCTAATTAGTGAAATGATGTACACCCTTATCGTCTACCCTAATTTGCTTAGCAATTAATGGTGTCGTGAGAGTTGCAGAGTTTCTTAATTCCTGTAATGAGAGAATTTTTGCAGTAATTGAAGATCTGGTTAAATTTCCGTTGGAGAACTAGAGTTACGCGTTGCGGAATCGAATCAGTTGCGTGTGCTTTCGGAGGATTAAATGAGTGATTTAGTTAAAGGCGCTAAACTTGTATCTGTAGTTCATTTCAGTTTTAAGTGTTTCATTTGGTTTTAAAGCTTTAGCGAACGCACATTTGTTCAGTTAATTTAATTTTTTTGTTTTAGTTATTTTAAATGGCACGTTTTTAAAAATAACGCATTCTTCGAAAATTAGCCTTGGTACAGTATCGTTTGATGAGTACGCAAAAATGTACTCAAATTCTCCATATAAGACTTCAAAAAAATCACGAAGATTTACCAATGCTGCGGATGAATTGAAAGCAAATATTAAAGACAAAATTAAGAAACCTTGACTTGATACTAAGTAATTTTCCTTTATTTTTAACTGAAGCGATTTTTAAAAAATATTTATTTTATTAACTATTTTACAAGAGTGTATAATTTTACTATTTAAAAATGACCTAACTTATTTCCAAAATTTCACCGGATTTTCGGGATGCAGAAAATCCTCAGTGGTCATGTCGGCATGTAAAAGATCCCTGGAGTGCCTTATTGGCATTTCCGGCAAAATTAAGTGCACTTCATTCCTAGTGCACTTCAGCATCCAAATAGTCTCGGTGCTGCCATCTAATGTGGCAGAAACTAGACGTCCAAATTAACATGACCAACGGTATCTCACCCATTGTGGTGGTCCTGAAAGAGTGGATACCACCTCTGGAGAACGCACTAGGTCTGCTCATCGGCAGGACCGATTGTCCAGCTCATTGGAAATAAAAAAAAATTTAAAAAAAATTTTCAAAATTTTTTGGAAACAGAGATTATAGTTTTTTGAATGATATTTTTTGTGGAAGTACTTGCTTCGGCCAGTGCATACACTGAAATTGGTACGATACGGCAAAGCTTAACATGGCTCCTACATGAGGATGACACCCAAAATCGTGAAGCGTTCCACAATTTTTTTTTTACGCTAGGGGTTCCACGTTCAGCTTATCGCCCAACTGGAGATCCTGCAGAGACCAAGGTCAAGAAAACTGGCATGAGCACAGTAGGCCATGGCCTTTCAAGTGTTCACTTTATTTTTTTGCGGGGAATTTGTTTAACTGTAAGAACTCAGCTAGTCAGACGTGTATGCTATTATTCATGTTAAAATTGATTCGATTTTGTTCATAAAAGTTTTTTTTTAGGAAATTGCATTGACTAAGGATACGATAAAAGGTATACTGTTGAAAGGATAAAAAATCTATGATCTTAAGGATATTACGATGTTACATTAAAAGGGATGTCATATTGAATTAGAAAAATATTTATACAAATATTAAGAATTTAAGGATATAATGTTATACTGTTGAAAGGATACAAAAACTATGCTATTAAGAATATTACACTACAAACGTTACACTAAAATGAATATCATATTGACTTAAAAAAAATTTTTATACAGATATTATGAGATTAAGGATATCAAATTATGCTGTTGAATGGATATAAAACTATGCCTTGAAGGATATTACAATACAATGTTGCATTAAAACCAACCCCATTTTGCATTAAAAAATTTTCATATAAATATCTGTGCTTGGTGAAAGAGCTACGAAAAGTACCATCATAAGAAATTACCTAGTTTCTAACTACTCAAATATAGCTTATGTTACCCACAGCAGCTATTAAAGCACAGCATAAAGTTCATTAGCGTCATAAATCCAAAACCCTCTTTAAAACGGTACCAGATTAGATCTTTTCTTAGATCAATAATCAAACCTTTAATAAAAGGGTAATGATCTGTAAATACATCGATGTGTAAGTGGGATTACATACATAGAACGGTGCATTTAATAACCAGGTAAGGTAATAGAAGCCTCGTTATGGCTAAGGGAAGACATTACGAACTGAAAATTGATAAGGACCTCGATTAAATCGACCACGGAACGTAATTAAGGGTTAAGTATCGCTCTATCTCCAGAATTGGACATGAAGAGGACCGATCCATAATCGAGGACTGTTCTTTTGTCCGCAGTTCAGTTAAGTGGAGTTGGAATCGCTTCTGCTCAAAGGAGTTGGGACACATCTCACCAACCTCCATTGTCATCAATCACGTGATATTGGATTGGGAGGGAAAGCTCTAAAGAAGATTTGAATCATGTTCTTTCTTTCACTTGTGGCGACATTTGATGGATTAATTTAGAATCAAGTGCGCCATATGATTAGATTTTCATCGTTTGAAGAATTGGGAAATCATTCGATTAAATAATTATATGATCACAATCGCATTAGAGTTTATGCTTAGCTTTTCTGAATTTTTCATTTCTAGATAGCTAGATTTCTAGCTTATATTATCAGATAGCTTGTGCTTCTGGGCTAAGTTTTTTTTTTTTAAATTTGACTAAATTATGCGAAGTTTTATGACATTAAGGGGGACCTAGACTTGTAATAGATAGTTTAATTTATTTGGAACAAACTAGTTTATTTACGCTATTTAAAAAAAAATTGGAAATACCTTAAATGAAAATAAAATAAGTTGTAGCAGAAGTTGTATTTAGTGCTCTTGAGAACAAACAAAATTTGTTCACAATTGTTGGTCGATTTAAATAAATATCTATAATTATAGAGTGAATGAGAGTAATGCGTTCTATGAAAGCGTGATTTGATGCATTTTTTTAATAAAAACAAATTCGAATGCATCGTGCTTCGCTGTATTATTTCAAACTCCTTATATTTTTGTAAATTATTGTTCAAAAAATTACAAGAGAAGTTAAATAAAAAAACAAATTATCTTAAAATTTCTTTAATTTGCTTCAAAATATAAAAATTAAAGTATCATTATGTCAGTAAAGTATCATAGAATGAAGGCAGTTAAAATATTATTGTGAAACATTTACGTACTCACTGTACAGATTAAACTGTACTCACTTACTGAGCATTTTTTACTCAGAACAAGAGCCCAAAAGTTTTTTTTTTATATAAAACCTTCAATAAAATATGTTTTAGCAATACTAATGCAAAATTTTGAAGTTATACTTTCAACAACTTTAAAATATTCTTAGCATTACTTATTTTTAAAAAAAACGAAAAAACTATATATATACGCATATGAAACGCCAAACGTTCCTTTCAGATGAAACTCACAATATAATATTTACTATTTTTTTTACTAAAACAGGCGATGCAAAATTTAAAAGTTTTAATCAAAATAATAATAAAATACCGATATCATTAGTTAATCTGAATGAACCAGTTTGAAATATCAATATGAATGCAAGAACAATATTAAAATATAATAGCTTAGATATTTACAACTATAATCTAATCTCATTCAGTAATTCTTAAGCATTAAATTCGCTTATTTACGAAAACTCATTTAATAAATTAACGAAAGCAGACTCCTTAATAAGGTATTTAGTTAATGAAAGCTCATTTATAGAAGTCTTCTATTCGGATTATAAGATCCCTACTGGAATATCGCCGAGAGAATTTGAATATGCAGGATTATGTATTTCAGAAAAATAATCATTTGTGTACGCTTTGGGAAATAATATTCCCTGCAAACAGAACAGGAAAGCTCAGACTTTATATATCCGTAATCTCATCTATTCTAGACGATTGTTCTGTTTAAAATATTATCGTCTGTTCTTTTCTTAAGTTTTCGTTCTTAAAACAAGTATTAAAATCGTTTGGTGTACGGTGTTATCAGTTGCCGGATTCCAAAATTGTAATCACAGATAAGGGATTTTTAAGTCCCACTGCATTATTCATGAATTCTCCAAGACAAGCGGGCACAGTTTGTTGCGCGGATGAAGTGAGCTCGAAGTTATCTCGCAAAGAGCAATTACTAATATTTTTTTGGTTTTATAAGTAAATGATATTCTCGGTGGCAATAGAAGTGATTAAATTTATTCATGTATTTCATTTGCATTTTATTATCGTTTTTAGAGGGAGTAGCGTTATTAATCATGTGTTATTCAATCGAAAAACGATTTTGTAGAGCGAAAAGGAGTACAATAAAAAGGATCTCGGAAGGATCCCACTTTTCGATTATTGTGTTTAAAATAAATGTACGTTTCATCTGCAAGAGAATATTTGTTATTTATTTATTTACTGTAGTATTTAAAATTGCTCTGTTGCTAAAGGAAATCATCAGAAAGGAAAAAAAAATAAATTGAACTCTTCTTTTGTATTTTGTAAATAATCATTTATAAAAGACTTTCTTCAACTGCAAAATTTTTTTTTCCATTTATTTCTTTATTATACAGTGAATTTTATCACAACCGTTCTTAATATATAGTTTGAGATTTAGGGTTAAAAGGGAGGTCAGAAAAGTATGCAACATTAGAAGCCGTAAATTAATATTTAAGCGTAGAAAAGTAAAAACTCTAACAAGATCGAATAAATCTATCTTCTGAAGAAGGTGGAATTGTGAAATTTTTTTAAAATTACTTTAGGAAACAAAGTGGAGATGAAGTGAGATGGTTAGATTCACCTATATGTTTCAAGAGGTAATGAAACCGATTTATAATGTTTTCTACCCGCCTTCTTTATAGTTATTTTTCAGATTCAGAATTTTTTTTCCGTTATTAGTTATAATAATTTGTGCCCCTTTATTAGTTTTCTTTAAACTTTTTCTTATTATTTGTTTTACGTCCTGGTACGGCTTCATACCTTTTGATTTACCGTAAATTGAGTTAGCAAATTCATTAAAAGAAAAATTACTTATATATATAGTATGATTTGAAATGTGATTTTCACTATTTACCATACTTCTTCCATGGTTTAATAGATGATTTCAATTTTATTTCATTAGGTTCTTGTTAAGTTTCCACTAGTTAAGTTTATGGAAACATGTATCAAATTCAAATGTGTCTGTAAAAGAAACATGTGTTTTTATATACCTATTAAATTACAGATTTGGCGAAGTCCTCACCATAATTCACGAAATTGTTAGCGTAGATTTACTTGTGATAACCTAAAATAGGAAACCTAAAATAAATAATTCATAAAAACGTGCGGTGAGAATAATCTTCGATTTTATTTTACAACCGTCGTCGAGCAGCTGACCTAATTTTGGGTTCCATCTCCATAGCCTTGAAATTTTGAACCCAATCCAGAAGACAAGAGAACTCTTAGATCAAGTATTGGGAGAAGTTCATCTTTGCAGAGGACTTTTTTTGATATACCTTACCCGTATTTACGTTACATAGAGAGGAAAACCACGAAACCCCCACGATTAGCATGATAGCAAGGGATATTTGACCATGATCCATCTACCACTGAAGATATTTTACGTCACTGTGGTCGGCGCGAGCCGGGTGCAGAATTTATATCGACCAGCCATCGCTGGGATTCGAACTTGGTTCACCTCATTAGGAGGTGAACGCTCTATCTCAGTGGTTACTAGCTGGTTGCCAGCGAAGCCTTTTTTTGTGGCCCGCAAACTAAAATATATTAGTTGTCATTTTTCGCGGGCAATTTTTGAAAAAAAATCTATATGGGTTTATAATACTTTTCTTTAGTTAAAAAAATCTAATTTTTTCGTTTCTGTGAAATTTAACATACCAATAGGACAAAAAATTTTTTTTCTCTGGCTTTGCATCCAAGAAATTTTTTTTTCGAATACAAAAATAATCGTGTATGTTGCTTAATAATCTACTTCTAATTTTAATTTGTAATTCAATACGTTTGTTTTGTACAACAAATATCTGTCAGTAATATTTAATGTTCCTTCAAACGTAAAAGAGTCCTATATAAAATTTTGATAAAGTTGCAGCCCGCCATTTGACTGGTGTTTTTAATTGCGGCGCCCGGCCTTATATAGGTTGGAAACCCCTGCTCTATCTCCTGTACCACCACGGCTCAATAATCTTTGATTGATTAATTAGATAGGCAAGTTAACAATCTGCTCTCATTATAAAATCTCTATCAAATCCTATGGAAAACTCTTTCATTTTGATGTTGAGAGCGTACCGG